AATTGTCTGTTTCCTCAATTAGCAAAAATTAAAATAATTGGATTTCAGCGAATTGTAACTTCAAGCTAACGGCAAGACAAGAAAACAAACTGAATTGTCATTGCATATTCATTACTTTTGAGCAAACATGAATTTTTGTGGGTTTATCATGAATTTTACACATGTTACAGGGATTTACTTACAGTCATTATTCACAGAATGATAGGGTTAATCCACTCTTATTTCTACTAATGTGGATCTAAACCTGTGCGTATATATATAAATGGATCCGAGTACAAAACAACAAGTAACTGTCCCGAGTAATTATAAAAGATGTTACAATCTGTTCTTGGTCATTATGATAAAATTGCACTTTCATTTTTTTAATCAGATTACTATTTTGCCCTCCACCCCTTGGCGGATGGGCCAACTGGAGTCCCCAATATAACACGTTTTTCGGACTTGACTAATCTGAATGGTGATTACTTCTTTTTCTGTATCTAAGGACAACCAAAGAAAATGACACCTTTTTTTGAAAACCGTCTTAAACATCACCTCCCCTACCAGTTTGCCAACCTTTTTAGCTTTTTTTCCAAGGTGTTAGCTTGGAGTTTGATAATATAAAGATTAGGTTCTACCTGTTTTCGCCGAATCCGAAGGTGTGCCTTTCCAGGATTGCGTCAGTCTAAACGTCCTATTAAAATCAAATTAAAGCAAACCAAGGACTATCCTCCCCAGTTCATTGGTTAGCTGGATATATGAATCTCTTCATCACCCCAACATACGAAATGGGCGTCAACTCAAAAAACGGTGGACAGAGAAAATTGCACATGTTATCTTCTCACCTTCCTAAAATTTACTGTTATTTTTTATACGTTTTCCGGCGAAGTCTCCATTCTAGCATTATGACTTTGCCTTGAAAGAGTTTCCTAATCCTGTCTTGTGCGTAAAAAAAGTTATTACTCTCGTTTTAATAATTGTTTAATCAGCACACTACCTTAATTTCGATTTCTTCACTTTTAACTTTATTCTCCTCTTGCTTGAGGCCCTGGCTTTTTCTTATAGGTTTTTTAATTAATATTTACTTATATCTGGCTCCATGGCTTCACCATTCATCAGGCTATAGTATACCTCTTTTCGCTTCCCATTTATATTAACATCTCTGGTTATTAGGGTATTCTACATGAGTTCTTCTTCATAAAATATTGCATAAAACATTGGCCCCGCTCATATTCTTTCTCTTTTCTCGCCTGATTGCTCCCAGACTTCAGGCATCGCGACGGCAGCGACTCGTCGCCTTGTTGTCAACCTGCATCGATGTTTGGAGGAGAGAACTGGCCGTTTGGAAGAGATGCAGGCTTGTCTTGAGGACTGCGAAGTTGAGCTGGAGTCAACCACAAGGCGTTTAAATGAACTCAAGGAAGCAAACTCTAAGCTCCTGTATCAGGTGAGTTGATTATACTGACGAATACGATCCAAAACCTTTCAGCACGATTATATTCTGAGGTGTTTTTTAGTCGTTATTCAGAAAGCTTAATCTAATCTGGAATATGCTGCAGTTTTAGCGCTATCCAAGTATTCGAAACTGTTTCCAAATCTGTTGTTGCTCGTCACACGACTCGTGTTGCTCTGGGATGTGCTTCTTTTCTGCTTTAACATGTTTCCACGGCATGCTTTGTGTTTGATTGCCGGATACATTTTGATGCAAATTAAAATTAACAATAATCGAACCCTAAATATTACAATGAAACGTGATAATCAATCTCTGTAAAAGAGTGCATGATGGACATACATGTTTGGTTGTGTACACGAGCAATTCACTCATTTAATTCTTTTTGATAAAGGTTGGTTGCTTGTGCAAAATTTGACATGATTTGATATCCGATCCTCATACATTTTCATCTATACCTTTACTACTTTCATCAGTTTAGAGCATT